ACACTCATTTCTTAGCTCCCCACCAAAATCTCGCTAAATGTCTTTCCAAATCCCTGCACAACATGGTTTGCAGTAAAAAATAAGACATCCCATGGAATAGAAGCCCGTTAGCCACTACCTTAATTAAAACTTCTTTAGCAGCTAGAGAAAGACATCATTGTTTCCATCCTTGTAATCGTTGAATAACTCTTTCTTCCATGAACCTGAAAGTTTCCAATTTTGACATTCTGATAAGGGAAGGGAGACCCAAGTACTTATCCGTCACTCCGACCACACCAATCTCCATGATACTACCCCAATGAGAACTATCCTCCGGCACAACATTCTTACTGAAGCAAACAACATGTTTTTTAAGATTAACCTTTTGACCACTAAAGTATTCATATTTACCCAAAACCTCCAACAGAATACCACACTCCTGAGCAAAAGCGCGAAGAACAAGATAAGAGTCATCCGTGAATAATAGATAAGAAATTGTCGGATAACGTGGTCTAATACAGAGACCGTTGAGAGATCTCTTCACCAAGGCATGCCTAAGGAGAGCTGCAAAGCCTTTTAAGCATGTAACAAACAATAAGGGAGATAACGGGTCATCCTGTCCTGCTATAAACCACGACTTGTTCTAAAGTAGCCAGAGGGTTTACCATTCATCATGACCGGAAAAAGGTTGTCGAGGTAACCCACCCAAAGCCATTTAATCAATGCTCACAGAACCCATGTTTCTCAAGCAATGTAACTAAAAATGGCTATTCCAAAACTTCTTGTAATCTTTAGTAATATTAGCCCACACCGAGCTCGAGAAACCACTCCTTCTAATCATAATATGCCAAAGCGATCTGTCATTAGGATACATGAGATCAATGAGGTTCCGCCACCAGCCATTCCTTTCCGTAACAAATATCCATTTTCCCAAATGAGGCATGTTGAACACGTCCAAATTGAAGATGCCCTAATCCCCCTGCCTTTTGGAAGCTTTACACGTCTCCCAATTCACCAAGTGGAACTTGTTAGCATCCCCAACTTCACTCCACAGGAACCGTCTTTGCAACTTCTCTACTAGGTTGGTCAACTGCTTAGGCGCCCGAAAGAGAGAACAAAATTACACACTTGGCTTTGCTCCAAGGGGAAAATCAAGATACTTGGTCGGGTCATAGCTCCATTTGCAACCGAAAATCTCAACAAAGAACCTTGGCTTAAGAACATCACCAACTGTATACATAACGGACTTCTCAAGGTTAATTTTAAGATCATACACAACCTAAAAGCATACAATGGTATCCAAATGATTGAGAACTTTCTCAGCTGATGCATCACAGAAAACCAATGTATCATCCGCAAACAACAGATGGGTCACCTCACCCCTAGAATATCCCTCGCCAATATGGAAACCTGAGACCCCGCCTCTCTCCTTTAGCTTGTTGATCATAAGTGATAAGATATCCATGACCAGGACAAACAAACTAGAGGAAAGCCGGTCCCCTTAACGTAAATCTTTATATGTCAGAAAGAAGCCCTTAGACTCACCGTTAACAAGGAGTGAAATGAAAGGAGAGCACATCGTCCCATGAATCCAGTAAAGCTATTTAGGAGGGAAACCAAGCTTAGACTAGATGTTAAACAAGCATCCCCAACTCACATTGTCGAACGCCTTCTCAAGATCAAGCTTGAAAATTAGGCCCTGCCTCATATTCCTCCTCCTAGAATCCACCAACACATTCGCAATAATTCAGCCTCAGAAATTTGCCTGCCAACCACTGAAACATGCTGATTCTTAGACACAATTTTAGGGAGCACCAATCTCATCCTCCCCATCATCACCTTGCTCATAAGTTTTTAAAACTACCCATTAGGCTAATAGGACGAAGATCACAAATATCTTTCAATAGTGTCATACTGCCATTCTTGGGATCCAAACAAATAAAGGAATGGGAAGAGCATCTCGAGAGACTACCAGTGGAATGGAATCCCTGAAACCAATGTTGTCAGAATCGAACTAGTGTATGAACTGGTATAGTAAGCGGTTCACACTTTATTGGTTTAACCGATATTACTTTGTTATAAACCCGTTATCGAGCCGGTGTCAATAAAGTTAAATTATTATAAGAAGAAACCTTTAATATTCATCGGTCGTGGCGGCTAAATAGCCTGAATGGACCGGATTGGAGGTTGGGTGGCGGTTTCATCTGTCCGGTTTGGCTTTGACAATATTGCCTGAAACTCGTTCATGATTTCATCTTTCAATAAAGGCCAATCTTTCTTGTAGAACTCAAACGTAAAACCGTCCGAACCAGGAGCCTGTCGTAATTGGATAACCTTGCATATCGAAATTCATGCTCACTAAAAGGCCGGTGAGGAAGGCGACATCACCATCATCAATCGGATAAGCCTCAAGCTGCCGCGGGAAGGGGAGACAAAATAAACTTTCTTTGAACATAACCATGTAATAATTCACAATACCGCTGACCAGTTTATCTCTCCCCTCAATCAGCTGACCATTGATATGAATGATATGAATGAGGTTGAGCTTTCTACTAAAGTTCGCCGCCATGAGAAAATACCGAGAGTGTTTGTCGCCCTCCCTTAGCCACAGTTCGCGAGTTCTCATTAATAAATAAGTTAAACTCAACATGAGTCCAGAGTTGCGCCTTGTCCCCTGATAATCCTCATGGCACCTAACCAAGTTGAAATCCCCAACAAGATACATTGGACCCTCAACCTGCTGATAGAAAGCGCTAAGCTCAAAAAGAAACTGGATCTTGTCCCTCCTCTGCTGTGGCTTGTAAACCACTATAAAAAACCAAGATTTTGAAGTCATAATTTCCATAAACTCCAGCTTAATGAAATAAGAGCCGACATGACTAACACTGCTGTGAAGCATCTGATTATCCCAGACAAACAAGAATACCACCAATGCTGGCATTCACATCTTTCACCATCCAACCTGGGTCACGAAAGCTACAAATGCTATCCACCACCTCCCCATAACAGTTAGACAATTTAGTTTCCACAATACACACGATCTTCAGTTTTCTTCTTCCAATAATTATTTTAATTATGCCTCTTTTCTCAGCGTCACCAAGCCCTCTTGCATTCCAAATAAACATAGAAGTACCCATTAATGATTTAGGGAAAGACCGCCGCGTCCTCTACTTATACACTTTCGCGGATTAGAAGGTGAGGAAATTGTCGGCCCCAACTGCCTTGACTCCATGTCAAACCTCGATCGCGACACGCTTATCTTCCTGCTATGAACCGTGGAAGCCTTCTCCATGATCACTTTCTCCATCTGCACATGCCCTTCATCAGGCTCAAATTCAAAGAGATGATTCAGATTCACAGTAGTTGTTGCAAGAGACTCCAGATCGAAGGGGTAGGCCTCGACATTCCAATTATTAGCACACTTTTACTCCTCCCCGTAACATGAAGGGGATGACAAATTGGAGCAAGGGGAAGGAGAAATGGGAAAGGAATCAGAAATACAAGAGAGCAATAATGAGGATAAGGTACATGGAACAACAGAGGGATAGAAAGGGGGCGAGCTAGACTCGGTTAAAGAATGCACAATCTCACTGGAAGTAGAACGAATAGGGGAAAAGGTTGGCACAACTAAAGACGCAATATAGTGGTTAGGAAAAGAAGTTGGGAGATTTGGATGGAAAAGATCAGGTTGGGAAAATCAGAAAAGGAGTAAGGTTGGACGGGTTTCACACTATCGAGACAAATGCAGTTGAGGAAAAAGAATGGAGGAGGACTAAGCATCGGGGCAAAACATTTCAGGATGGAAAAGAAAATGAGCAAGCCAAGCCCAGAGGGATTGAATTGTGATAATGGGTTACAAGGAGCGGGCCCACTAGTCGAAGCATATACAACAGAGTGAGGGGGAGAGAAAGAGGGAGGGCACAAAGGGAGAGAAAAAAAGAGATGGTGGTTGGATCATGGGTTTAGGTCAGTATATATATTTAGATGTATGAAATAAAATGGCTCAAACATATTAGACGCTAATCAGACTATTGAATTTCGAATCACTTGCTTACCTGACTGAACGTCTTGAATCGGTTTGACACACCACAGCCTCATTGTATTATTTTCATAGTTTACCAATATATAGGGCTGGTAAACGGTTATTTCGTTAATGGTGTAACCGATAACCAAACCGATGTCAAATGGTTACACCGATAACTAATTAAATAGTAAATGGTCGGTTCCCGATAGTCAAATTTAGCTAATAACTAACCGATGGTTAAACGGTTAACCGACGGTTAAACGGTTAACCGACTAACCGATTACGACCGCCCTCATAGGTAGGGCCAAAATAATAGACCTGCATGAACCACAAACATAGGGGGAAAATAATGGGGTGTTTGAAGGCTTACAAGACCATTGCCTACCCAAGTTGTAATAGTTACTTAGACTCAAATGAGAAAAATTTAAAGGAAGAGTTTTAGAAAGCAGTAGGAAGTAGGAAGTCGGACTTGTGCACAGTTGCTCGACAACAATTAGTAACGTTAAGCTTCCATGCGTTTGCGAGTTGAGTAATTGTTGTTGGGTATCTTACTTTTTGTATGCTTCTTCAATAAAGTTAGGCAGTAGAATGATATCATTGTGTACTTGTGTTGGATCGAGTTGATTATTTATTGATAACTATGTTAAATTATTTTTTATTCACTAATAACAACTTAAGAAAAGAAGACAATGCCTATGGATGAAAAATTATAAAAAAATTTCTCAATTGAAAAAAATGAGGTCTTATGTTGGTTCGGTTATCGATCGGTTATTTTGGTATTACTTTGCCGAATCACTTGGTTAACGAGTATCAGGTTAACCGACAAAATAACCGAGAACCGACTATACGATTACAATTAACTGACTAATTTAAATGATCCAATTAACGATAATCACAAAATATGTAACGATTAACCGAAAACCGACTAAACAATCCAAGTTATAACCGAACCACACCGATTATCAGCCATTCAGCCCTACCAATATATCACTCTAGAGTCTAGAACCCACGTTCTCTTTCTCCATTGGATTTGGAGGCCAAGAGAATCACTGCGTAGATCGGACCGCAGACAGCAAATTTCCCCTCTCATCCTCATCAGCATGACAACTAATCATCCTCCTTCTCCTTCCAGCTGTACTTGCCTTCCCTATCTCTGCGCTTCTCTCTTCCCTGATGCTCACCTCGCCTCTATCAACAGAGCTCTCAAGATTTGATACTTCCCTTTCCACGGAATGCGACGACAAAGCGATAGCAGGCCGAAGTTGAAGATCATGCCGCTGGCTTCTTTCCTCTATGTTCTTCTGTATATGGCACTCTCAATCCCTAGCGCGGACTCGAATCAGGAGAAGAGTTTGACTTCAATCTACGACGTCTTAAAGGCCAAAGGACTTCCGATGGGTTTGCTGCCGAAAGGAGTTACAGATTTCAAAATCGACGAGTCGTCTGGGGATTTCGAGGTTCACTTGGATCAAGCCTGCAATGCCAAGTTCGAGAACGAGTTGCATTACGACTGCAACGTCACCGGGAAGCTGAGCTACGGCCAAATCGAATCCCTCTCCGGAATCTCGGCGAAGGAACTATTCCTCTGGTTTCAGGTGAAGTCGATTCAGGTCGACGTTTCGGACTCGGGGATTATCTGCTTCGATGTTGGGGTCGTCGTGAAGAAGTTTTCCGTTTCGCTGTTCGAGCTCCCCAAGGATTGTGCTGCCGCGGCTGCCGACGAGGCGAGGGTGGAAGTTCAGGGCGGGCGGTTTATCGAAGATGCTGTGACCCAGGTTTGTTCTCTAGCTCCATATCTATCGATTGGCTGCAAAATTGACTCGTGAATCGGACCCGCTAACTGCAATCTGTGCTCATTCAATTGCATTTCTTGTTTGATAATTGTGCAGAATCAGCGTGGTGAAGAAGTGAACTTTGGAAGGGATGTTCTGTAAAATTTCACGGTTGAATTCTTTCTTTCTCGTTTCCCTTCCCACATTGCCAGTGGAACGAACTACTGCTACCAGCTTCAGCAGACGTGGGTTTTTATCTTGGACGAGATTCAGATAGCAGCTGAAATTAGGCAGTGATTTGTAGCAAAACACAAGATAAAAGTGCAGGCAGGGACTTTTGGAGGAGGTGATATCAGGTGATAAATACGCCTACTCGCAAATTTGTTCTTGTGTTGAAGCTTTCTCATAGATATGGATATAGATTCGGCAAGTTTGTTGTTTCTGGGTGCTCTTCTTTTGTGATAGAAATGATGCGTGGCGTGTTTGTTTTCAGGAATAAAAATGATGTAATATAGAGGTTATTCTTGCCGCCATGTTTCGTACCAGAGCTTGGATCTCAATCTGCGTATGATTAGATGTATGTGTTTTTGTTCAATTGCCAGTGATTGATCAGTAGACACTAGACAGTAGGGCACAATCCATCTCTGTCGCGTATGACTTTCATGGTCGCGCATAGGCGTAAAACCCATCTGAGTTTGAGCAGCAATCATATATGAGTAAATCCCATTTCGTTCATATTACTATTAGCCAATCTGGAGTTTCATTGAGCACTCTCTTTAACTTGATTCGAGCGAGGGGGACGAGTTTGGCACGATCGAAGCACGCCAGCGGCCATAGGCTCAGAGATGGAAATTGCTTCTACCTTCCAAAGGCTTGACTACAAAGGTATGCCGGAATCCTTCACTGCAAGAGTTCTCTATCATATCTGTAAGTTGATCTTCTTCATCGGGCAAAATGATCGGACTATTAGCTTCGATTTAAGTGGCCACCTTTGCATTGTGTTGAAAGACGACAGATTCCCGAGCTTATCTTTGACGGCCACTTCTACTTTGCTGAGAGCCCTGTTTTCTGCTGTGTTTTTTTTTTTCCTTGTTTGCTTTGACAGGGGCAAATGGAGAGTTGCAATTGAAGACGTGACGCTATGCTTTGCAGGAAAATTCTTGGGCATGCTCCTTTCTTTTCTTACTAATCTCCACTCTGCTAATGATGCTGTTGTGGTCATGGCATTTACACAGATGCACTGATTTTCGCTAAAATGTTTCTTTTTATTACGAACGAGACTGCTAGTGCTGGATAAACTAAAAAGTGTGGTTTGCTTCATGAATTTGAAAAATGAAAGTTTTGGTAAAATTTGGGTTTTGTAAATTTATGGATATATGAAGTTTTAGATTTATTATGGACTTGTAAATTATCATTATTTGTTTCATTGATTTCATGATGAATTTGATTAATTAGATTTGTATGTAAGAAGTGAAAATAATCTACGTTGCCTTTACTGGTATGAGATGAGAAAGATAAAAGATGGGTAGTTTGGTTATAAATGATGGACTTTATTATCTTCACTGGTATGAGATGAGAAAGATAAAAGAGGGGTAGTTTGGTCATAAATGATGGACTTTAAAGTCCATGATCAAGTCCCTTAACGTAGGGCTGGGAAACGGTGCGGTCTAGTCCAGACCAGACCATATACACGGTCTGTGGTCCAGACCGAGAGGGTAAAACGGAGACCATGGACCAGACCATAACCTATACGGTCCAGACCAGACCACGCCTGTGCGGTGCGGTCCGGTACGGTCTGGACCGAGTAGACCATGTTCAACAAAACCTGTATTATCCAATATTGTTAAATATCAACATAACACCAACAATTTCAAATCTACAACCCTACATAACATGAGATTAATAATCAACAACATAACATAACCTTGTATACAATGCAAAATCAAAGTTTTAGGAAATGTTGGCTGTACGATTTGAATGGCAGAGCACAACAAACCCTAATTCCTTTTACCCCATGTTTCGGCACAACAAACAATCCTATATCCCATGTTTCTAGCTTCAAGCAACAACTAACAAACTATAACACTACTACCAACGAGCCATCTGCCAACATTACCATTGAGAACAAAGACAGGGGAAGCTGGTCGTGAATGGGGGATTCCCGGTTGCAGGGGTCAGTCGGCAATGACAGAGTCGATGGCAGGCAGGCAAAGGTCGAGGTTGATGGCGGACGTTGATGGCGGAGGTCGATGGCGATGGTGGAGTTCGATGGTGGAAGTCGTGTGAGTTGCGACGGAGCTGCTGGATGACTGAAGGCGAGGCGAGGCAACAAAGATGGTGGAGGTCGACGGCTGAAGGCAACAACGACAACGAATATGTAGGTTTTCCTTCTCGCCTCTCCCAGCATTGCAGACTTTCAGCGTCCAACGCGATTAGGAACGGTCGATGGGGAAGCACGCAACAACCGAGTGAGAGAAGAAATTGGGCTTGGCCCATTGAAATATGGAGGTTTGGAGCTGCCTAGTTGGGCTCAGCCCATACTTAATTTTGGCCACGGTCTGGACGGTTAACCACGGTCTAGACCAGACCAAACCGTTCCAGACCGCAAGTGAAAGAGGCAAACCGTGGACCAGACCAAATTGTATTCATGGTCTAACGGTCCGGACCAAACCGTAAGGTACGGTCTAAACCGCGGTTTGTCATACAGTTTGGTCTAAATTCCCAGCCCTACCTTAACGGGTCATTTGCTTCAAGGTTTTGTTGATGGATTTGGTGATGGACTTGCATTTATCATGGACTTTAACAAAAGTCTATTGTTTGCTTGATGGAATTTGAAGGAGTAAATCTGTGGGGCCCACAGAGTTTGGAGGTCCAAATCCGTGGACCCCACGGACTTGGAAGTTCCACCTATGGAGGTGGGAATTGGGTGATGGATTTAAATCCATGATGGCATTTTACTAGTTTATCCCTACTTATTTTACCTAATGACTAATCTACCCTTCCTTCTTCTCCGGTGGCGGCCTCCAACTCTCCGTCCTCAATTTTTCATATTGAGCAATGAATGATAAAGGACTCTCACGTTTGTTTCTCCTTGTCTCTTTCTTTTTTTGGGCTTGTTTAACTTTAATTTCTCACATAAATTGTGAATTTCGACATGAAATTTTTGATTAAGCGTGGTGCTCGAGTTTGACCAAAAAATTGGGACATTTTCAATTGTGGTTGAATTTCACATCTTCGTCTACTGAGTCTTCTACTTACTCCTCTATTGATATTTCTAACACTTTTTGCTCATCTTGTGCATTATTGCTAGATCGACAGTTAGATCCAAAAATTAGGGAGTTGTGTCATGTCCAAATTATTATGCATTTCTATATTTGTAATTGAACGAGTTCTCAAAGTAGAAGTTATGTTACTTTGTATGCATTAGATTTGTTTTTAATGAAAATATAATTACATAAGGGTAACAAGGTAATTTGTGTTTCATATCCACAAATCTAATCAAATAAAATCCATTATCAAATCCAACAAGCAAACAATAGACTTGTTCAAATCCATGATGCCACCAAATCCATCATATATCCATGGTTTTTCAAAATCCAGGTTTTACCAAAACCCTCATATTTCAAATCCATGAAGCAAACGACCCGTTAAAGTCCATGGGGCTCTCGGATTTGGGGACTAGATACCGTGACAACCCCCCTTTAGTAGCCGTCCATCCCTCTTCCTCACCATCTAACGGTTGATGATGGCCAAGGGAAAAAAAGATAGTGCCCACACTGGATTCGTCTGCCCACTAATTGCTGACGTCAGCCGGGTTTGGAAAAGGGAAAGAATTTGGTGGGCGAGATAAATCAGCCACTCTCCCCGCAGAACGATTCTTCTCCCCCCAAACCCTTTTCCTCCGTCTTCTCCCAAAAACCTTGCCTTCCACCATCTCCGATCAATTTTCTCGGCGTTTCCTGCCATCGTCTCACCCGGTCTCGTGTCGAGTGCAAAGTCTTGGTGTTTGTCTGCCCTAAAACCATTTTCCCCTCCATCGTCTCCCAAAAAACCCAGCAACCGTCACCGCCATCGTCCCTTCTTGCTGCCGTGCAAACCATCACAGGCGAGGTATAATCATGCACCCTTTTCTTTCTTGTGTGGCTTGTTTGATTTGGTTTTTGTATAATCGAGTGGTACTTTGAATTGGTAGCGTTGCTATCACTACAGAGGCAACACTATTGGTAGCAGTTTTAGTGGTAGTTGTGGCAATTGTACTAATTTTAATTGTAGCATGGTAGTGGTAGTTTAATTGAATGGTAGCACCGGTACTAGCAGTAGTGGTAGTTTACTAAGAGGGTACCACTCACTTTTTCCAGTTGTAGTGGTAGCACTAATATTTGTGTACCAGTGAATTTTGGTCTGGCAGCAGTGGGTTTAAAATAATTAATTGTTATTGGTAGTGGAATAGTGGTAGTCGAAGTTGTTGTTACTAGTAGTGGTAGTTGAAGTTGGTATTAGTCCTTTAGTGGTAGTTTTTGTGGCACTGTTGAATGGTTTATAGTAAGTTTTAATTAAATTTGTATAACAATGTAGTTTTTTTTGTATCAGGAATGGCGAGAACTACACAGCGACAACCAAAAAAACAACTTGCAACAAAAAAACCTACTAGCTATGAATCTCGGCAGGTTATCATCTGTGAAGGAGAGTCATCATATTCTAGTCCAGGCCCTATTAAAGACGGCCACATGAGGTGATAACGAAGAGTCCCTATGAGAAGAAGAAGAAGGAGAAGAAGAAGAAGAAGAAGAAGAAGAAGAAGAAGAAGAAGAAGAAGAAGCAAAAAGTAGATGGAAGTTCAAGCCAATTCGGGAGAAGTGCAGCCGGAATTCAAACATTGAAATTCTGGAATCTAGCATTTCGAAAGAGAGGAAGGCTATACTGAAGAAGCTTAAGGAGTATGATAATTGGTTATGTACGTTTTGGAGTATGAACAAAGCTCGAGGCGTATGATAATTGTCTATTGCTTTTTTAATGTAAACCAATTATATTGGACAAAGTAATGGCAGTTTGCAGTAGTACATTTGGTTTTGTGTTCCATTGGCATTTTCTCATTACATCCAAAAGTAGTTTTCCCCATAAGTATTATGTGACTAGCAGTCGTGCTTGTACAACTACTAGTACTGGTATATGTAGCAGTAATTATTAGTGGTACATATACAAGTAACTAATGGTGGCACATGTGCAAGAAACTAGTAGTGGTACATGGACAAGTAACTAGTAGCGGTACTTATACCAGTAACTAGGAGCGGTCCTTGTATCTTTACTAGTTACTAGTATAACTAGTAGTGATACTTGTACCAATAACTAGTAGTGGTACTTGTACCATTATTAGTTACTGGTACGTGTACCAGTCACTAGCAGTGGCACATGAATCAGTAGGCAGTAATTACTAGTAATGGTACTCGTACGAGTAAGTTTGTTTGCTAAAGCTACTGATATGCACGAGGCACTCACCGTGGATATACACAGATGTTACAGCAGTAGTAGAATCATTGCTTCGTGTAGGTTTCCAAGTATGAACAATTGTTTTTGGTATCTATTGTCTTTAATTTGATCTAATACAAAATACTGTTGCCTACATTGGCACAATTGGGTTGGCGTTTGAGTGTGAAAATTTAGTACCTTCCCCCTAGTTATTTAACTACATAACCCTTTATTGGTACCATTTTAGTTGTACTGGTACGAAATTAATGTTACTGGTACCAAGACAATGGTATCGATATCAAAATCATGTTGTTAGTAATCATTGCTCCGTCTGGTACGAATTCGTTGCATTTGCACCATTTTACTAGTGGTATAAATATTGTTTTGGAAAAAATGTACCAGTAGTTATGGTTCAAGTAGCTAGTAGTATTATTGTAGTGGTAGGCTCCTAGTGGTAGTCACCTAGTGGTACTCACTTAGTGGTAGACACGTGGTCATCTAGTGGTACTCCCTTAGTGGTAGTCATTTAGTCGTAGTTAGTGGTACTTCCCTAGTGGTATCGGGATACCGGTAAAATGTTAAATAGTTTGTTTTGCTAATGCATTTGTTCTTTAAATACAAGTTTGGTATCAGCCATCATTCCATGAGACAGTTGAACGGGAATCACTTGTGTTTCCAGAACCAGGATGAATTTACACGTTTCTACAAGAGTTTTGGTCATGGAAGAGGTTTCTCGTCTAGAGTCGTTGGAGGAAGTAAAGAAGAAAAGGTCATACTTCCCCGAACCATTCGTTTTCTAGTTTGGAGGTTCGTGCACCAAACAAGGGTACAAAAAGCAGCAGGCTTGACCCGAAAAATGTAGAAGAGGTCGTGGACTCAGAGTATCCAAAGGTCATGAACAAACAAGGGTACATAAAAGGCAGCAGGCTTGACCCGAAAAATGCAGAAAAGGTCGCGAACAAAAAGAGGGGAAAAAGCAAAACCTAAACATTGTTTTTCATTTATCTCTTTAGATGTTTCAATTCAAATTTGGTTCATGATACAATCAAACATGTCCCTTGTGGAAGATATTACGTTATTTGGATGAGATTTTGTTGTCTAACATTAGATAACCATTTTAAAGTGTTCTCTTGTGAAGGTACATGTACCGGTAACTATTAATGATATAAGTACAACCACTAGTTATTGGTACAGATACCACTAGTAATTACTGGTAATGGAAATATTAAGTCTGGTACTGGTACTACTAGTTTCTGGTGCTGATACCACTAGTCATTTCTGGTACTTACCAATACTAGTTATTGTTACACGTACTAGTGGTACTTAGCAGTACTAGTTACTCGTACATGTACCACTATTAGTCCATGTGTAATTAGAAAAGCAAGAAAAGTACTGTTGTAACAAAAATACAAAACCATATTAAGTGATTCACCAACATTAGGGGTTTTCTTCAACAAAAATGGTTCACATTAAAAAAATGCTCAACAAATGCTTCACAAGAGAGCTAAAAGACAACAAATGCTCAAACTTTTTTCATACTCCAAAACGTATATAAACCAATAGCATACTCCACGCACTCTGAAAAAGAACTACTGCTTCCCGAACTGCTTGCGCTTGTTCCTACTTTCGGTTTCTTCTTCTTCTAGCAGGGACACTTCATTAAATCATCTCGTGGCCGTTTCTTACTAGGACCTGAATCAGAGTCAGATGAATCCCTTTCACGGATGACTACTTGTCGAGATTCATAGGTTGCAGGATGTTTTACAACAGGTTCTTTTTTTGCCAGTTGCTCTTTTGTCGTCGACACATAGCATGGAGTCTTTGTTCTCGCCATTCCTGGTACACAGATAACAAAACTACCTTGTTAGACATATTTATTAAAACTTACAATACCAACCCTATGAAACATTCAAAAAAGATAGTATCAGGAATGCCTATGATACGTGTACAACTAGTGTTAGTGGTACAAGTATCACTAGTGGTACACGTATCACTAGTTGTACTTGTACATTTATCATTAGTGTTACCGGTACACTAATCCCTAATGGTACTGGTACAAGTACCACTAGTGTTACTGATACACGTATCACTAGTAGTACATATACCACTACAAAACATTCTACCACTACTACTAGAACTGGTACCAATACCACTACCACACCAATTCAAAGTACCACTGCATTATTCAAACAACACACAAGCTACTAAAGAAAGGAATGGCTGGTATAAAGAAACCTCCCCTGGTATGTTTTCAACCGCCGTATAAAGTATCGAGGGAGGAAGGATGTCCGGCGATGCAATGAAAGAACGGAAAAAATGAATGGTTATGATTTGGATTAAATCACGGTTGGCCGCTGGGAAAGGACGATCGAAGAGGAGGTAAGGCCGCTGGGAAACGACCAGTTCAAGCCAGTCCATAGAACTTCAATTGAGCAAAATTTTAAACGACCAGAATCAAGAAGAAAGGAATGGAGGAAATAGACCCGAATTGCCTTTACTCTCAACGACCAAGTCTTCGAACCCAGTGGGGAAATGAGCAAGATGATGCAGGGGAAAGGAAACCGACGACAATGTTTATCGACGACGATGCAAGGGTTTTCTTTGTGGGTTATGGGAGCTGATGGAGGCTGGCCAGGCGAACGGCTTTTTTGCGAGGAAGGTGGCGGATTAGTGTCCGAAAATCTTTCCCCTTTCAAAACTGAATTTCGCGTGACACCATAGGAGGAGTAGGGGAACGGATCCAGTGGAGCACCTATCCATTTTGCCCTTGATGATTATCGACCGCCAGATCGTGAGGAAGGGAGATGGGCGGCTGGGAAGGGGGAAGCGAGATTGACAACCCCTTTAGGGGGTTGTCACACTATCCAATCCCTCGGATTTGTTGTCATCAAATACATGAAGTAAACAATAAACTTTGGACAAAGTTGATGATAGATCCAAATCTATCACCAAATCCATCAAACAAACAAAAATCAGACTCTACTCGTGGCTCCTCGCGCATGCAGTGGTAGCTGGTAAGAGTTTGCCACATTATGTTTCCATCGTATCATTGTAAGAATTGGTTAATTGTGAACCGTGATTACTTCTCTTCGTATAAACCTATATAGTGTTCATACTTTATTGGTTTAATTGGTACATTAGATCGAACACTCGTATAGGAGGTTGTATCGGAAAAGTAAGTGGTACTATGGTAGACCTATGAGTAATCAGATATGGACCTTCCATTTTAAGTGGACCCAGAAAATTTAGATTTAAGGCTTGTGAATTAAATACATTTTATTTTCCCTAATTTTTTTAATTGGCTCTTTATGTTTTTCGTTTGAGCTCGGATTTCAATTTTGTTTGCATAGATAGAACGAGTTCGTTGTGCTCTTCAAAATGAGATCAATTTTCAATATTTTATTAGAATTTTTTTCATACCTCTCGTTACCAACTTCATACCATATGGTAACTTCTTCATTTTTAAGTCGTTTTTGAAACTATTTGCTTAGAAGGAATGAGTTCATCATGATCTATTAGATCTACAAATTTCCGGGTGAAAAAAATACATGACAAAAAATTACCATACTTTACCATCCTGGTATGGGGGTGGTAACTTGTGGTAAATAATGATAAAAGTCGTAAATGACAATTAGTATACTCCTACTATCATGCATGTATTCAACATTCCTACACTTTTAGTATGCTCATACGATCATGGTACACTTTCTTACCATATGGTATGCTCCTATGTGCATTGTTGGTCACTAAGATTACAAAAAACGTTCATGTTTGGTCACTCGAAATATTTAAATCCATTCGTGGTCACTAACTTTACATTTTTCGTTTCATCATTAGTCACTCTCCGTTCAATAATAGGTGACCGTTAAATAAATGACATGTCCATTAAAAAATAAAAAAATAATTTTTTTAATTATTTAACAATTCCACCTCATAACTACTTTGCACTTATCTAATACCGGGGGGGGGGGGGGGGGGGGGGGGGATCCCTAATTCATATTTTTTGCGGTGGCCTTTAAGTGCTCTTTCTCCCTATTCAGTATGCACTCATCATTGTGTCGCTCCAAGATATGTTGGCCTGAAACACGTAACGCCCAACACCGCCGCCCTAAACTTACCTATGCCAAAAGAAGAAGAATTCGGAGGCGAAACCAAGTGTGGAGGTTTGTTCGCCTGAAATCGCTAGTCGTCGTCCTCGTCAATCCTTGTCATCGCCGCCAGCAACACCCAACCTTCCTCCTCCGACTATGTCCACTACCGCCGTCAATAGTCACCTCTACAACATCTTCTTCCTTTCTTGCGGTGGTTGGTTCGTTAGAAGTTGAAGTTTCACCAAAGAGCTGGCGAATCTGGGTTGGCAAAGAGAGAGCTTAGAAATTGAGTTCCGGATCTACCGTCTCTTCTCAGCGTCGGTCTTCCCTTGAATCGAGAGTCGCGCGACGAGACCATACTTATGCATCCAAGAATCGGGAGCTATCGCGGGTCCATACTTTTGCATCCAAGAATCAAGAGTCGTCGTTGAGATTGAGATCAAAGGAAGAAGAAACGTTTGTTTTTTTTGGGAACGACGATTGATGTTGGCTTGGGATTTATGGGGATAGGGTTGCGATTCTGGGGATGGCGTCGAGGATGGAGACCAGCGGAAGAAAAAGCGTTCCACCTTATTCCGAGCTCGCCGACGCAAATTCCCCAAATCTGAAGATGTCTTCGCCGACGATTCCTCTCTCTTTATCCTCAATTCAGGCGGCGAAACATGTGGATAGGCTTGGTTTGCGTCGCCGTCAACTCCCATCAACCCACCAATTTGCGACTCCCGCGGGCATGGATCCCAATCGCAACTCCAGGAAGCAGAGGAGGGCCAGGATGCTACTCTAAAGGAAAATCTCGTTGCCGCCAGCGACCGCGCCAGAGAGGAGATGGAGGTGGTGGATGGAGTCTGTGAAGAGACGCACGACTCATTTTAAGTTTTTTTAGTTTTAATAGCGGTGAAACTTATGTGGAAAATTTAAACAATTAAATTTTATTTTTTATTAATTATTTATTAGCTACATCCCTTGTTTAATGGTCTACTATGAAAGTTGAATGCCACATCAGAAAAAATAAACGGAGTTGGACGGAGAGTGACCAAACTTGAACGCTTAAACTAATTTTAGTGACCACGAATGGATTTAAATATTTCTAGTGACCAAACATGAACGTTTTTGTAATTTCAGTGACCAACCATGCAATTAAACCAATTTTTTTGTTCTAAAAATATATCAAACTGAATATCATTTTAAAGAGCACAACTAATCTGATTTATCTGTGCAAAAAAAATTAAAATCTAACTTAAAATGAGAGAGAAACTGTCCATTACAAATTAAAAGAAAAGGATAAAAGAATTTTCATGAAAGAGAGGGATGCTCATGGTTACTCATGATTACAGACCTGATCTGCTTCCGGATTTGACTACCCTGCTTGGCGACAGCCCAGAGCATCGGGAAATAAGAAAGTAAAGTCAAGAGAAAATGATGGTGGAAAAGAACATTCCAAACAACTAAACATGTTTGGGTACAAATAAGATACCGATACTCTAAAGATATTTATTTTCCCTGTCAATTATATTGAGTCACAAGCGGTAATGATGGGTACCCGTTCCTACATCAACAGCCACCCAGCAATTCCGTGATCGCTTTGCTCCACACCAATCAGTTCACCGTCCTCATTGCCTAACGCAATGCAACATAACTTCAACGGTTAGAATATTTCCATTGGTTTTTTTATATGTGACAAAGAGGAGATTTGATTTATTGGGAACTTCACGCACAAATGAGAACACGATTGGCACAAGTTGTTTTCAATAAAAGATGGTTGGCTGGCTGGAGCAATTAATTTTGCTTTTTTCTGGTTTGGAGATTGTTGGGGAAATTAATTTGAAAACACGAGAGCATGAATGTGGTTGCCTCCTCTCTGTGAGGGTTTAAATTGATCAAATCTCAAGAAGTTGGTCAGTCACACCAACACCACCTTGCCCTATTCAACTACTACAATGCTTTCTTAAACAGCTGTTTTAATCCACATGTAGGAAACATAAAGTACTTATCAATAGTCATATATAATTCTATACATACTATTTATGGAAAACAACTAATTTTTCATGATTAATTTTAACGAGTTATATCTCTTTGTTTTCAGTCGTAATTTTTTTAAAGCTAAATAAGATTAATTTGTACTATTCAAAATGACATCCGCTTTGATATGGGAAGAGTTTGGGTTGTGGTGGCGAGAGTAAGCATTCTGGGTTGAGAAAGTGATAACACCCAAATTGGTGTTATTTACCTTTCATATCTAGGTTTGTTTCGTGCTAATTAATTCATGTGCATAATCAGAAGAATATCATCGATTGCATTCTTATTTCGTTCCTATTTGATTACATCGTGGTTTTAGGGTGCTTTAGACGATATATGTGAATTAGGTACGAAAAAGGGCACAAGCGTATCAAAATGGACAGGAAGCTGTTGATCACAACCTGAAGGGGAAGATCTCGACAGAGAAAACATACAACGAAACAGAGGTGAAGATCGCGGCCCGAGAACCCAAGTTCGCGGCCGCGAAACTTGAGCTATTGGGCGCGAACTTCGTGGAGAAGCCAACCGAGAAAGAACAGAAAGTTTCGTCAGTCTGGTCACGGTCACCACCTCACCTGAGCGCGAGGAAGTTCGCGACCATTAGTCAGCTCGTGAACTCCCAGCAAACGAAGCGCAAAACGGCGACGCCTGAAGATCGCGGTCTCGTGGGAAAAGATCACGAGCGCGATATCCCCCTGCTCAGCCGCGAACGTGTTCGTCCCCCTGAAGTCTATAAATAGACCATTTTAAGAAAGTTGATTTTGAAATAGAAATTTCTGGTTTAGAGAGAGAGAGAGAGAGAGAGAGAGAGAGAGAGAGAAGTTGAAGGTAGGAGAAGAGCAGAAGGAGGTGAAGCCAGAAGAGAGAAACCATCTTCCTTAACATCAAGTCTTCCTCAAATTCTTCAATGTATCTTGTTCCCTCCTTTATGGAGTAGTCTCTTAAGGTACTAGGGGTTCTAAACCCCAAATCCTTGTTTTAGGGCTATTATGTAATGAATGAATATGTTAGGATTTTGAATGAATGTGTTTGTCTAGTTGATATTAATGATTCATCTACTTTAATTGTTCTTGGGTAAGTCGCCCTAATCTTCTCTACTAGCCTACATAAGCTTCTACATTGGGTATGTAGAGTTAGACGGGTATACGCCATCTCGCAAATTAGGGTTAGATGATTGAATATGGTCTTGTGGTGGACGAGGCGACCGTACCCCTGTCACAAGAACGCTTTCATAGATGGAACCCGGGATGAAACCTCGTTGTGGATGGTGGCTAGTAACCATTGAAATGAGATAAGTTCTTAAAGCCCCAGATATGTGAGCCTATACCAAGGTGACAATGGGGTGGATAATCACAAAGGCCCACAGAGAAGAGCTCACTCACCACATTACCTTAACCCAACTTGTCTAGTCATTTGCATAATAGACCTAGACTAGGGCGAGGGTTAGTTCCTCGATGTACCTTCTTTATCCTTGTTTATTCTCTCTACTAGTTATTTCACTTGAATCCTTCAACACAACCCCCCTTAAATCGATCGAATAGATAACAACAATGTGGGAAGTAGACTAGGGTACCAGGACCCGAGTGAATACGACCTTGATTGCCACTACATGACAACGCCATTTGAGGTCAAACTTGGCCTAGGATGGGGTAGTTATTAATACATGCAAACTATTGAAAATGACCCGCACGGAATGAATCGATCACCCACTAAGTCTATCGTATGTATTTTTATGGTACTTGATCTATGGCTATCTCAAGCAATAATAGTGTGTTCATCATTGATTGCGCCATATTTACATATATTTTTTTTGGTCTGAATTAAAAAAAAATCATTGAAATGTTCTTCTTAATTAATTATTAGTACCTATATAAAAATAACGAACAAATTTTTTAGTTAGAATGATGAAACTAACACTAAACTAGATAGTTGACGTGAAATTCCGGAGCTTTGAACTTTCGGAACTCACCATTGAAGGCAAAATACTTTTGGAGGGGTAATAATTTGAATTCTAGCCCTAAAATTTGGACCTTTTGAACTCACCACTAAAGATGGTCTAAGGTTGTCCACAACCCATGGTGTAAAAGAGCATTTCGCCCTTTTAGTCCCAACAATTCCACTACAACCAAGGGGGCATATGGGGGGGGGGGGGGGTAAAAGGCTAAAACGTAAAATTGGGGACTAAAATAATTCTAGTTGTAAAAATAGGGGAAGGGCTTAAAACGGGGACCACTTCCAAAAGAGGGGAAGTCACCGGCCAGAATGACCGCCATTTGCGGTGCAATTTTCGAACATTTCTACTATCATGTATTCAACCATTCAACTCTGATATGTTCATACCACCATGCTACACTTTCATACCATGTGGTATGATCTTATGTAATACCAAACATTATCAGCATTGTATAGACTGGTACTAAATGTCTCAATTTTTTCGTTTCAAAATAAATCAAAGTGGATATCATTTTAAAGAGTACACTTAATCTTATTTATCTATGCAAAAAAAAGTATGACTTAAAACGGAAGAGAATTAGCTCGTAAAATTTATAGGAAAAATGTTAGAGACCTTCAATAAATGGTGATGTGACTGATTATGCATGGTTATTCACAACAAGGTTGTGCAGGAATCCGCTCCGGGATGGGTTGCTAACCCGCTATTATGTTAGCACCATGCTAACCCGCCACCTGGCCTGCCTTTTTTATTTTCGGCTATTCAAGGGTGTTATACCGCCAGGGGCATTATCGTCAGTTGGGATAATTTGCTGACGTCAGTCCGCGAAATCGGCCTGGATACATGTGCGTTTTTTTGTGGTGGGATCCCATAGTCAGAATTTCTTTTTTGGGTGAGATTTTTGTCTTCCCATTTTGCTCTCTAGCCGTCGGAGTCCTTGACCTAGCGGAGCCGGAGAGTTGTCGCAGTTTGTCGCCAGCTGCCTTCGTCGGGGTTGTAAGTATCCTCCCACTCAACAATCTTGTACTTTGTTGTCTCACTGTTATACTTAAACTTTGTAAATGCCTTACATCCAACCCTAGTCTTCGGCTTCTCTCTTTTCTTTGGCGGTTCAACTTCAATCACCACTCCGGCATTTTTCGGATCCAATCTACTACCCCGTTTGTATCCTTCTTTGTTGCAGCATGCACCGAAATAATACACAATTGGTTCTTGGAGATAAGACTTCCTTGCTCCCCAGTCTGCCTAACCAAGAATCCTCGTTCGTGGGTGTAAGGTTTGAAAAAACTAAGGAATGCTTCATTATCATCAAAGCGAAAGTGCTCCCAGGTACTTCTATCCCCTGCCCGTACAACACTCTCGGAGTCTGTACAAATAATACCACATTGTAAAACATGGTTTCACAACTAATGCATTACTCGTTCATGCAGACATGCAAAATCGCTACAACCAAAATAACTCTACTAACTTGCAAAAACCCTACACATGTATTCGCACACAAACCAAAACACTACAATATAAACTCTACTGACTAGCAAAACGCTACACACGCAAAAACCCTACACACGCATTCGCTCACAAACCAAAACACTATAATAAAAACTCTATTGACTTGCAAAACGCAACCCACGCAAAAACCCTACACAACCATTCGCACGACATTCACCTCCAATACAAAAATCACTACTATCAAAATAGTACACTTAAAGATTGACAACACTACATATTCCCAGTTCAATCTTCAACAGAAACAATACCATAGCTACACACCAAACCACCTTGACAAACCCTACATATAAACAACTACTACTAATATGGCCAAACCACAACGTAGATCATTAAGAATACTACAACCACTTCCATTCAAAAACACTCCCACTATTCTGAATACTACACTACTACTTTTTTCATCGCAAAATCGGCATGTCCCGTCCATACCCATATATGGTGGTAAAGAATATTGTACTTAACAAAACAAAATAAATCACGTCGTACCGTCGCTGATCTCCTCTCTCGCTTATCCCACTTCCACCGGAACGATGGACAAGTCTAGCACCGTTTCCGCCCCATCCTTTTTTCACGGCTCCGGTCAACACATGAACGGCCTCGGATTTCGCCGCCAGAAACCAAAAGTTCTTCACACCGCCATTCCCGACTACACCTCCGGCGGTATATGGTCTTCCCCTTCGGTTTTCTCTCCCCCGCCCTCGTCGTTGCTATCCTCGAGTCGGAGGAAAATGGAGATACTACCCCTACCCGTATTCAAAAAATAGAAACTCTTAACCGTCCCAAATCCCTACAAATCCGCCCCACTAAAACAAACAAATTTAATTAAAAAAAATTCAATTATTAACGCTGACTATCCCTAATCTACCCTTAGTATTTTCACAACCATTATATTAGAAATATATTTGGACGGTATAGATTGGGGTTAGCACCCTAGCTTCTCCCAATTCGCTCCCCTTCAACAAGGTTGTGTTTTCTGGGTTTTATAGGGCCGATTCTGGGTTTCAGAATTGTATTTTTTAGGGTTTTAAAGATGTGAGGGAAGTTCGGAGTTATGAGTGGGATGGATGGAACGAAAATTGATTCTCTTTTTGAAATTGTATTTTCTGGGGATGATCAGGGGAAAAGGGTCGTCGACGATGCGAGGTTGAAGCAGACAGGAGAAAAGCAACAACATATAGGGTTGGGTCTGGAGGTGTAGGGAAGTTAGATGAGGCAGGTCACGGGTTTTAATTTGTAAGGGTTCAAATTGAGTCGGGTCATGGGTTGGGATTTTTTTTTTATGATGTGGCGGGTTTTTCGACATGGGTCGAATTTTTTTTTTTTGGATTAAAATTACGTGACTCATCACTTCTGTCAGCCATGTCAGCAAAACACTTGACTGAAATTAACGGAGAGTGACAGAACACGAAACGTTTAACCACTTCCAGTAACCACGAATAAAATAAAATACTTTAATTGACCAAACACGAACTTTTTAGCACTTCCAATGACCAACCTTGTAATTTACCTAGTTAAGAAACAACAAAAGTATTGCATCCTCTGGAGTCCTGACCGTCCACGTCATCCGCTACACTGCAAGGAAAGAAGCACCCGAACCCAGCTCCGCACTCTCCGTTGAAAAATCCGTTCCTTCCTCCATTACTTTAGCGAAGTATCCACTCTATCTATCCAGCTATCTCCTCTCCCGACCTCCATCACATCCATCCGCTCAGCCGGAAATCCACCTCTCTCCGGCGGTTTCTCTTCTTCCTCTTGTCCGTCCGGCCGCCGGAGCCTCCAATTCTCTTCTGAACGGCTGAACCTCCTTTTCTCTGTTTCCTCACAAGCAATTTCAAAAATGGCTTCCTCAATCTACTACTTATCTCCCACACTCCCCATCCCACCACCAAAATTTTCACTCTCGCTCCCGCTCCCGCCGTTGCAGGTGAGACCACCGAACTCCGTTCTCGTGCCAACGTCCGCTTCATTTCTCTGCTCTTCGGGTTCGAAACTCCGCAAGAAGAACGGCTACAGGAACGACGGGGCGCTGTTCACCCTATCTTGCTCCACCTCTGCCTCGCCCTTCTTCGGCAGAGTTGGCTCCCAGCAAAGGGAAGGGAACTCTTCTCTCTTGTACTTCGGGGCCAATTACCCGAATGCGGAGGCGGCCAAGACTGACGCCTCTCAGGTTTTGTCGGCAATGCTCCCGTTCGTCGTTGCCGCCACTGCCGTCGCGGCTCTCGCTCAGCCGTCCACTTTCACTTGGTGAGCCGTACGAAGTGCTCTCGTCTTTTCGATTCCTATCTTTCATGTTGTTTTCCTGATGGAGCGCTCTCACTGGGCTGGGACAGACTCTCAGTTCTTGCTTGCCCTGCCCTCCACATATTTGATAAATTGTTTCTTGAGGGGTTACTTTGCGATGAGAAGGTTTTTTGGTTAACAAGGAACGATATAGCTTCTGAGTTTTCAATATTTTATAGCATCTCTATCTTTGGAAGATTGCTTTGTGAATGATTTTGGGGTAATTCTTTATTCCTTTGCGCTCTGGCCGTGTAGGGAATAATTTAATTATATTAATAGTTTCCTTTGTTCTTCTGATCACCATGGTTTGTCCTGCTAAGTTCAAGAAACGTTGTTGTGGTCGCAACTTTCCAATTCTGTACTGGTTGTTTATGCTTTTTGGATCTTCTTTGTGAATGAGAAACTGGTTTTACTCTAACTATCTGTTTTTGGGCTCACACTTCCCCCCTTTAGCTGTAAGAGGAGTCCAAAACTAGTCCTTCCTAGGGGCTTTTCTACCAGAATGCTTGTTAGATTGGAGAAGGGGTAATGTGGTATTGGATTCGAAGGAGTTGGAATCAAGGAGTGTGTTCTTTTAGTTTATTACAGCGTTACGAGTTTTTTATTTGGAGCTCATAAGACTATGTAATGGGAGGTGGGTTTTTCCCTCACCTTCAAGAGTTCTTATTTTCTCTTTTTCTTACTTTCGAATTGTCATTGTTTTGAAACATGTGGTCGTGCAGGGTATCAAAGGAGATGTATGCTCCAGCTCTTGGTGGAATCATGCTGTCAATAGGAATTAGACTCTCCATTGATGATTTTGCTCTTGCCATGAAAAGGTACATCTTGTTCCGAAAGTGCTTATGTAACATTTCTTACCCTGCTTTGAAGTTTTCCTTTTCCATATTGAAATCACACAGTTCAGTGTAATACTCCCAAGTTTCTCTTTTTTTACATCTTCCATCTGTTGCAGACCTTTACCCCTGTCTATTGGGTTTATCGCGCAGTATGTGCTCAAACCGGTCCTTGGGGTATTCATTGCAAAGGCATTAGGCATGTCCCAGATGTTCTATGCTGGATTTGTTCTCACCTCATGTGTTGCGGGGGCACAGTTATCTAGCTATGCTAGTTTTTTGAGCAAAGGCGATGTGGCACTGAGCATTCTCCTAACTAGCTCAAGCACCATTGCATCAGTACTTGTCACACCTCTTTTAACTGGCCTTCTGATTGGCTCTGTTGTTCCAGTTGATGCTGTTGCAATGTCAAAGTCAATCTTGCAGGTTAGAAGAGGAGCCCCAGCTTTAGGCAACTGGAAAAGTACGATACTTTTTGTTTTGAGTTAGCAAGTGTCTGAACTTTTTTCTCGCTTCTTTTGGTGGCAGGTTGTTCTTGTTCCGGTCACTCTTGGTCTTGTGCTCAATACATATGCAAAGCCAGTTGTAAATCTGATCCAACCAGTGATGCCATTTGTGGCCATGTTGTGTACTTCGTTATGTATTGGCAGCCCTCTAGCAATCAATAGGACCCAAATTCTTTCTCCAGATGGTCTGGGGCTTGTTCTCCCAGTACTGACATTTCATGCAGTGGCATTCACAGTGGGGTATTGGGTCTCCAGGATTCCAGCTTTCAGGTAATCCTTATGCACTTCTTATTCTTGCCAATCCTATGATTATGATTATCGCCATGATTGACCACTTGAGATAGTTTCAGTAGTGGGCTCTCCTTTGTGCTTGCTGAACTTGCTATATGATGCAGAAAGTGCACTTATTGAGTATTGAATTCACTTTGCTAAGTATTTGGCCTATCAAATTAGCCTGATAGGATCGAGATGCCTTCCATGGCAAACTTGCCACAACATATGTCTGTGTGTTTATATCTGAGGTCATGCCATTGGTGCCGTGGTGCAGGCAAACCGAAGAAGTAAGCAGGACAATATCACTGTGCACAGGGATGCAAAGCTCAACACTAGCAGGTCTTCTGGCAAGCCAGTTCCTTGGAAGCAGCCAAGCAGTTCCACCGGCATGCTCGGTAGTTGCCATGGCAATCATGGGTCTGTGTCTCGCATCTTTCTGGGGAAGTGGTTGCCGGATAAGAGACCTACTGTCCTCCTTCATTCCGCAATTCAGCTCCATCGTAGAGGCTTAGCCCCATTAAGGTAGGGGCTTTAGCATCAATAGGAATACTCTCTGCAGCAGTGAATGGGGTTCATTGTTAGTTTGTATTAACGCCTCAACTTGGAGAAGGAATAGCAAGTATAGGAAAATTAGCATATAGGAGATCAGCGGAGCATTGTGGAAACGGGAAACAAGCAGAGCGGTGTTGTATAGTTAGAAAAAAGAAAAGGCTGTTTTCCTTCCCCCTTTGCCCATTGTATATACGTGCACTTACCAGAGTGTATAGTATAATTGTCTCTTCGTTAGTTCTAACTTCTAAGTACCAGGTGGCAGTTTATATGTTTTGAGCTAATGTTGAATTTCCTTTTTTACCAAGACAGCATGACTAGGGGTTAGTGACAATAAATTTTGTGCTTAGTGGTTTGGTTGTGATTTGTGAATGTTATATTTAGTGGCTGACTGCTAACTATAACGGATAATACACAATAACCACAAGTGGTTGCAACAAGGCATGGTGGAGGACGAATAGTGAGAGAAATCCTTCTGGCGAGGACCCTTCGGATTTCTCCCTTGAGGAGTCACGATGTTTGATCGAATGATGTTCGATCGAATAGAACCACATTTCTAGTTATAATCCTAAGCGACCTGTATTTCGATCCTTGCACCTCGAGGAGTGCAAGGTCGACTAAGATCTCATTCAAATCGACAAATAACGAAATAGAGGAAATCAAACCTAAACACATATGAATAAAAACAATTCTATTAAACCAAACATCGAATTTTACATGGTTAGAACCCTAGGGTTCACTTATCTACGCAATTAAGAATCTAGCCAACGATGAGGAGGGGTTCCTAGGTGTTTATTGATTGAAATGAAGACCCTAGAAGCACACAAGAATTGGCGCCACCAGTAGAGGAACAGGGCCAAGGCTGCCATTTTGGCGCCGATTTTCCCTTAGAGGTTGGTGTCATTCTAAGTCGGGAGGGTTGCTCTGTCGACAGAGTAACAACTTTTCCTTGACCTCTCGTCTCCTCCCTCCTCGAGTTCTATCTCTAGGGACCTATTTATAGACCTTTGATGAGACTTTCTAAAGAGGAAATATCATAGCTCCAGCGTCATCCAGCCAATCAGAAGGCTCCAAACACGTGATCAATTAATCAGAAGGCTCCAAGGTGACTTTATGGGAAAGTAGTTGAGCTATGTAAAATGGAGGCTGAAGCACCATTTCACATCATGTGTCGCAGTTTTGAGCTTGGTTCTTTAAGCTTATCCTCTCTTCGAATTTCAGCTCCAACAATTGGATCTCGATGTCCCCTACGACATCCAAGTGGTCTACTAGTAATCCACCTATCAAGGCATGTAGGAGTAATCCACCTATTCAGGCATCCACTATTGGAAACATCTAAGAGGAAGAGTTTGTGTATGATGACCCCCCTGCACCTCTTAGTCGAAGTTCAACAAAACCCTTGGAACTGGACATTGAACAAGAGATCATGGGGGAGAAGTCAAAAAAGGACGACCAACCTCAAATAGAGCATGAAGGTCAGGAGCCACTAGTGGAGCAAGCATCTCAACCTATACATTCAAAGGAGGAGTTAAGATGAGTCAACTATAAGAGATGTTGATGATCAGGCCAACATGGTGTCCAACTTAGGAAAGGAGCAAGATACCTCCTACCATCCAAGAGATCGTGGAGGAGTCCATCATTGAAGAAGAAACATCTGGCTTAGTGGAGGAAACTTCAAGCCACACTCATATTGAGTTCAACTCGAGTTGGGAGGAAGTAATTGATGAAGAATGCAGCTTCGATCTTGGAGAAGAAGAAACCTCTACACATCCTCTACAAAAATGGAAGATGAACGGGGAGTAGCAATTCCACATACTCTAAGCAATGTTTCTCTATGCATAAAAGAACCAAGCCTTGAAGTGGATGGACCCCTTTAAGATCCATTTACATCCTCTTCTCAAGAATCTACACAACACTTGGAGAACATGAAATTTGATCAAGAGGAAGTAAGGGTCAAACAGAAAGAGTTCACCATTTACAAGGGCACTCTTGGTGAAAATATGAAGGATGTCATTCCTAAAGTTGAAGACCATGAAGAAAACTTAAAAATCGTGGTGGAGATGCATCATGGAGTCAAACCCAGCCTTTTTGGACTCCATGATGAAGATCCATTTGCAGCATTTATAGAGAACCATGAGATCGTAGCATCTTATCTAACCCAAGGGGGGGGGGGGGGGGGGGGGGGAATATAGTCACTCCTTGTATTGTTACCTTTACCACATACCTAATATTCACACATCAAAGTGTGGGATAAAAGATGCAAGGTGGAGACGAATGGGGTTTCTACTTCATTGTCCACTGATAACACCTAAATTAGTGTTATTTACCCTTCATGTGCATAATCGTTTGAATAGCATCGATTGCATCCCTATTTCATTCCTATTTGATTATGATGTGATTTTAGAGTGCTTTAGACAATACATGTGAATTAGGTACGATAATACTGACAACTGTCATTGAAGAAAAAGAGAAGACATCGACAACAACAATGGCAACTGTATAGATAATATGGTGTATTCAATATATATTTTCACTCAAACTTTAGAATCACACACACCCGTAATGTTTTCACGCTTGCTAACATATTTTCATTCTTCTCCCCAATCCATGACAACATAGATTTCCCCCTCTAACTTCACCACAAGTAATTGACGACACTATTGATGGTGAATTAGTGAATATTGAAGATGCTTTCCGTCACACCAATTACAAAGTTTGCCAAAAGAAAACTTGGAGGTTTGGATGATTGCAATGCATAGTGTTTTTAATCTTCATACTATCCACATTTCAAAACACATGTTATTGTTTTCGCACTTCCCCTTCTATTCATTAGATTTCCTCTATGCTCCCCACCAGAGATAAGGAAATTTATGGCAACCAAACTCAAATAATTTATCTCGGAATGATTTGAAAGGGTCGTACGACCAACGGATCAGGTATAAGACAACCAAACTCAAATCATTTGTCTCAAAATAATTCGAAAGAGTCATCCGACCAACGTGTCAAGTATAAGCTAGTTAATATAATAATAAAATGAAATACATCCGACATATGGGCCCAGCATAAATCTAGGCTCAAGTATGCACCCTTAGTTATGCATCCTTGTATAACTAAATCTGGACATTACCTTTTAAGTGGACCCAGAAAATTCAGATCTAAGAATGGGGAATTTAAAGCATTTTATTCATAAAAAAATTAAAGACATTTTATTCTCTCTAATTTTCTTAATCGACTCTTATCTTTTTCGTTCTAACTCGGATCTCAATTTTTTACACAGATGGAACGAGTTCGTTGTGCTCTACTAAATGATATCCATTTTCAATATTTTTGAGAAAAAAAATTCATACCTCTCGTTATCAACTCCATATCATATGCTATCTACTTCGTTTTTAAGTCGTTTTTGAAATTTTTTGCATAGAAGAAACGAGTTCATCATGATCTATTGGATCTACTAATTTCTAGGTGAAAAAAATACCACACAATACCATCCTGGTATGTGGGGTGGTATCTTGTGTTACACAATGTTGAAAGCCGTAAATGACAGTTAGAATATACCTAATATCATGTATTCAACCATCCTACAGTCTTGGTACATGGTACGCTTTTTATACTATATGGTATGCTCTTATTTTAATACCAATCAATACTACCATAGTATAGACTAGTAAAAAATGTTTCAATTTTTATATTCCAAAAATATATCAAAGTGGATATTATTTTGAAAACAGAATTAATCTGATTTATCTGTAAAAAAAATTCCAACTTTAAACGAAAGAGAAATCTTCCGTTAAAGATTAAAGGAGAAAGATTAAGGGTTAATACCCTAGTTTGGCCCGAAGTTTAGCGTATGTGACACTTCTGGCCCCATTTTTCAAATAAGACATTTGTGGCCTACTTTTGAAATTATTGGACAGATTTGGCCTAGTGCCGGAGTTGACCGTTAAAACTGACGGTCAATGATTTTTTCCGTTAATGACTCATCACTTAACGCTGACGTGGTTATGACATGGCTTTTCATTTAATTTATATTAAAATAATAATATATAAAGAATTTTAAAAACAAAAACATGAAAATGAAAATTTGAAAAAAATAAAGTGAAGGGATATGATGGATCTCCCTCTCTCTCTCTCTAAACTCTTCGTCTCCTTCTTGATTTCCAAATCTCCCCCAAATTCGATCCTATTTCCCAACATATTTCAGTGGCTGTCGATGGTTGTACATCCACCGCCGTCGCCATTCCTCCCGGGCCATCCCGCCTTCCTCAGTCGCAAGTCCCTGCCGTCGTGCCGCCAACACAAATCGCAAATCTATTTCTGCAACCCCAAACCTAGAGAACAAATTGAATCTAACCGCGAGAATGGATCCTTCTCTGAAACCGCCTAAGAGGTGAGCCGTCGTGAGATCTGAAGCTACGTCACTGTCGAGGATCGAGTTTGGATTTAGATTCATAGCCCCATCCATTTATGCAGCGCCGGTAATCATGTTCTTGACGTAATCGGTTTTGCCAGGACAGTCGACGTGGGCGTAGTGGCGGTGGCGGTGTTGATGGTGATACCGCGGGCTCTCTTCTCGGGTGGGGCGTCGATTTCGTCGTACTTCTTGGCAGCGCTGTTGCCCATGGAAGCGAGAGCCATGGTTAGGGCACAGTGAGGGCCATGGTTAGAACCAATTTTGAGATGGCCAATACTGTGAAGATAGAGCAGAGGAAGAGGAGATGGAGGAGTGAGATCTACTAAGGCACAGGGAGATCGGAGGGAGTTTAGATTAGGGTTTTTATGTTTATTTTTCATGTTTTTAAGTACTAAAAAATGAATTGAAATAAAAATGACATGCAGTCATATCCTTGCCACTTCAGCATAGGATGCTGAATAATTTAACGGAATAAATATTTGACCGTTAATGTTAACAATCAACACAAGTTTTGGGCCAAATCTGTCCAATAATTTCAAAAGTAGGCCACAT